TTATTATTATTATTATTATTATTATTATTATTATTATTATTATTATTATTATTATTATTATTATTATTATTATTATTATTATTATTACAGTTTTCGACGTTTGGTGCGTTTTCGACGGTGGGTGCAGCTGCCGGTGCGTTATTGAGTGGCAAAATGGCTGGGAATATCGGCAGAAGAGGAGTAATTATTGCTTATTCACAAAATTTAATCTTCAAGCAATTATTTTTATATTGTTTAACCTTTTTAAGACTAGGTGTAGAATTTTTATATAAAAATAATTTTTAATCAAAATTAGTAAAGTGGTATGCTTTTTCAAAACTTCTGAAATACTATTTATCTAATTACTCTTCGAATTTTATATTCTCACGTTTTACTCAATTGAATATTAAAGACTATGTGGATGGCCGATTTCTTCTGCATCACGGGTTGGCTCTCGATAGCTCTCGCTAAGGTAAAGACCCCAAAGCCTCTGACTATTTTCAAAATCATATTATATATATATATATATATACACACACATAATGTGTGTTCTGTATATAGCTTTTGTATTTAAAATTTAACATTGAAAATAATAATTGAACTAATATTTAATCATTGGCAAAAAATAAAATAAAATAAAGGATGTGTTGTGGCTGGATTTTGGGAGAATCTCCACGGGGATTGGACTTGGCTTGATAAGCTACGTGGTAATTATTTTATTAGTTGACGAGTAATGATATTTTTTGTTTATTAATTGTATATTTATTTAAATAAAATGTTAATATCCCACAGGTACCTGTTTATATAGGAGAAATTTCTCCAAAACATACTCGGGGTGCTTTTACAGCTTCCCATCAGGTATAAATAAAACAATTAATACTTTCAAAAAGTATATATATCATGGAAAATCTAGGCAATATAATCTCTATATCGAATTGAATAATTCTATTTTTAAGCAGGGAGAAGAGATAAATAGAAAATCCAAAGTTTTACAATAAAGATACAGAAAAACTCCAAAATTAATATTATTGAATATTTTATGTCAAGATTAACAAATATGACTTATAAAGAGGAAAATAAAACACCAACTACTTTGTTTAGACTCTGTCATAATTATATATATATAATTAGTATTTATCCTTGATTATTTTTAATTAACACCAACTCACAAAAGCATATTCACACGTATAGTTTGTATTAATTATTTGGTAATTGATAGGTTCTTCAAAACTGTGGAGGCGCCGTCGTTTATTTTTTTGGGTCTTCCAACAATTGGCGAATGCTTGCTATAATTGGTAACTTTTACCATCTATAGATATTTCATGACATTCATTTTAAATATGATATAATAATATCAGGAATAACTTAAAAGTATTATTAATTTCTTAAAAGCCTTATATTCCACTTGAATAAAAAAATATTTAATATCATGTGCTGATTCAGGTGCTCTACCATGTTTACTTCAAGTTTTGTGTTTGTTCTTTGTACCGGAGTCCCCAAGATGGTTGGTCAGTATATTTTTATCATGTAATTTTTTTATTTTTATAAAGACTAATTTTCGCAAATTATTAAAAGATTTATTATGGCCAATGTCTTTAGGCAAAAGTTGGTTTGGAAATTCAAACCGAAAATTCTCTTCATAGGCTTAGAGGAAAAGATTATGATATTTCAAGGGAGGTCACAGAAATTAGAGTAAGTCTTTTCAAATATTTTAAAGGTTTTCTTGTTTATATTTTATAAATTTTTTACTATTAAATTAATGTCACGTGAATTTTATGTAATCCCTTTATTTATTTCCAGGTTATGAACGGAATATTGGAACGAGATTCAAAATCGGGTTTTGGTGATTTGTTTCAGAAGAAATATCGGCACACTCTCGTGGTATGGTATAAATAAATAAATCAATCAATAATCAATAATTTTTATTAAAATAAATTGGTTTTAAATTTTTCAGGTGGGAATAGGTTTAATGTTAATACAACAATTCTCGGGAAGTGCTGCTGTTTTTTACTACACGAGTACCATTCTTACAAAAGCTGGTAAGACTTGAGAATACGATAAAACCCTAAAATAATATAGTTTATTTTTATTTTTTAAGGCCAGTTTTAATTTTCACAAAACGAAAAATGTAAATTTTCAAACTTAGATTTATCATATAATACTACTTCACACATTTTACTAGATACATTTATTTCTTGAATTTATAACAGCTTTAATAAACTTGATTGATTAATGTTTTTAAGTATATGAGATAATTAAATTTACGAGCGAATTTTCTTTTTGAAACAGGCTTTTCCGTGGCCATTGGATCAACGATATTAGGGCTTCTCATGGTATTGATTATTGAGCCCAGAACGTCAATTAAAGCTTTTTACGCTTTTGTGGAAGTAATTAACCGATTAATATAGTATATACTGAAAAACAGTATTTTCCCTTTTCTGTGTGTATGTATGTAGGCTTCTGCTGCTGGGATGGGCGTAAGCTCCGCAATTCTTGGAGCTTCATTCACATTACAGGTTATTACCACAGTCTTCACGGAACAATATTTCTTAAATTATATATACTATACGCCCATATATATGTGTGTATATATATAATTTATGTAATACTTACAAATTTTTAAATAAAAAACAGAAAATGCAATTGGTGCCAGAACTGACTCCAACGTTTACATTTCTCTGTATAATGGTAAGGGTTTAGATATTGATTTGTGTAAATTACTTTTTTTTTAAGTAAGTTTTTACAAAAAAAAAATAATGTTTATTGAATTTTTTTTTCAGATGTACATTGTAACTTTTCAACTAGGCGTGGGAGGGCTCCCATGGATGATCATGTCTGAGGTAATTTTCGATTCCTCATCATATATATATATATATTCACATCTATAACACTATATATATATATATATATATGTATAATGAATAATTTTTTTTTTCTGGATACAGATATTTCCTATGAATATAAAAGTTTCAGCTGGGACTATAGTAACGTTAACCTCATGGTTAAGCGGCTGGCTCGTCACTTACACTTTCAATTTCATGTTGGAATGGAGCCCACAAGGTGATATTTTCTTCTTTTTATATTTACTTTTTCATTTAAATGGAAATTACCAATATTTCATAGTAATTTTTTAAATATAAAATTTCTGGTTTATTCTAGTTTTGTTGACTTTGACCCTAAAACCGAGAGAGTATAACAAACCCGAACCCAAAACGGTTAACTGTAAACCGATTCCGTACGGAAACCATCCTTTTTAATTTCCGGTTTGCTCCGGATAAATTTAGAAGTGATATATCCGACAATTTTTATTTGGAAATGACACTAACGATGGTTTCGTTATATGAAATAATAAAACAGGAACATTTTACATATTTTCGGTTATATGTGGAGCATCGTTGGTTTTTATTTGGTTGCTCGTACCGGAAACCAAAGGACTCACTCTCGAAGAAATTCAAGCTACGCTCACTAGCCAGCCTGATGCCCGTTTAGGGTAAATTAAATTCGATTCTTATATATTAGTAACTTTTTTTATTACAAGGTATTTGTGTATAATAATGATATATATACGTCTTTTCGTAAAATCTGTAATAATGAGGAATGGGTGTGGATCAATTATCATAAATGCAATTTCATCTTCGTTGCATATGTGACCAGTATGCACCGGTTTGTATAATAATTGAAGATGTAATTTCATCTGTAATAATGATATACTTACATTTTGAAGATCGCCGAATCTAATAAAAAATGTAAAAGATTCCATGCCGTAATTTTTTTTTTAAAAAATACGAAAGTGTATTGCAGATGTGATCAGTAGCCAATCATCCATCAACAAGGGTGTGCCGATGTAGAGGACTTCTGTGAGAGAATAATGCCTCGAGCAATCCTGTCGAGGGATGATCGAGCCTTTTCCATGGAGGACGAGTGCTTTTTTATTTTTATAATCCAAAAATTTACCAAACCTTTGGTACAATCAAATCTTTAATAAGATCGGAAAAGTCTGTATAAATGCTCCTCCCCAGATTTGTATTTGGATGCGGATAAGAAAATGTTTTGTATGTTTTTTTTATAACTAAACCATCTAAACTTGGATGATGCAAGCGTTCCTTTCATACCATATGAGATAGATGGCTATTCGAAGAATCTGCAGCTTGGCGAGGCTCGGGGTTGAGCGGCTAGCGAAGATGAGCATTGATCAACATCCCGACACGGCGGGAACGGGAAGTACTAAAGGGAATATGTGTATATACTCGAAAAGGAAACTCTGCATATTATGATTGAATTTCCTAATTCATCCGTTAGGTTAGAAATTTGCATTCTGTATATATGCGTCCCGCTGGTAAACACAGCTAATACAGCCGAAATTCTTCTTCCAAAAGCTTGAACTCTTCTGATTTTTGTCAGGAAGCAAGCAGAGGCAAATTAAGGCGATCCACACATCTGGTCGGTAGCAGCATTTAAAGAAAAGTTGACAGATGAAACACGTGGAATTATATATCGAGGAGTCCCCCCATCGAGTGAGATGAGTTGTTTTCAAGAAAGATTTGATTTTATTACACTCATTACGAGTATTTTCCAAATATGTGTGGTTGTTGTTGCCGACAAGCACGTATACATGACGACGTGTCCTCAAAGTTGGTCTATATAAGGGCATGTGAAAGACACAATAATGTCGCCATTGCCGTAAATAGAAAAACAGACGCACGATGTCGCTCGCCGTTGTATCCGCCGTTTTATTTATCGTCCTGTCTCTCAAGCTTATTCTGAACGCGAGAAGAAGCTCGAGCAAGAAGGGGAATCTCCCTCCTTCTCCGCCGTCTCTCCCCATCCTCGGCCACCTCTTCTACGTAAAGAAGCCTCTCCACAATACGTACGCCTCCCTTGCCGCCGAATACGGCCCCATATTCTCCCTCCGTGTTGGATCTCGGCGCATCGTCATCGTCTCGTCGCCTTCGCTAGTTCAAGAGTGTTTTAGCGGCAAGAACGACCAAGTTTTCGCCAACCGACCGCCGTTCCTCAACTCCAAGTACGTTGCTTACAACAACACGACGGTCGGGACAGCGCCCTACGGCCCGCACTGGAGGAACCTCCGAAGAATATACACTATCGAGATGTTAACCTCGCAAAGGCTAAGCCTTTTCCAGCCTATCCGGTCCGACGAGCTCCGCCGCATGGTGGCAAAGCTTGCTCGGGACGCGAGCGCGGGAGGGTTCGCGGCCGTGGACCTTAGAAAGACGGTAGCGACCGTTGTGATGAACAACGTAATGAGAGTCATAGCGGGAAAGAGGTATTACGACGAGGACGGTGGCCGGAGCAAGGAGGAGGCTTCGAGTAGGTTCCATGCGGTAATTCAGGACGTTATGGACAAGAGCGGTGCGGGGAATCTTGCGGACTATTTCCCGATCTTGACGTGGATGAGATCAAAGTACGTGAAGAGGGTGAAGGAATTAGGGTTTAGAATGAACGAGTTCATGCAAGGGCTTGTCGATGAGATGAGGAACAAGGGGGAGAGAAACGACACCATGTTGGGCCGCTTGCTGGTTCTTCAGGAGAAAGAACCTCATGTGTATACAGACGAAATCATCAAAGGGCTTATTCAGGTGAGTCGGATCCAAAAATAATTTTTTTTTAAAATATTAAGTTTTTAAAAATTGTCATAATATAAACACGAGGATTTTTTTAATCAAAATATGCAAATATTATCACAAATCTTATGAGATATTTGTAAAATTAACATTGGTTTGTAGAAATACTTGAAAACTTTATGTATTTTGGCAGGCTTTAAAATTAGTATATGTTTATATGGTAATTTTTAAAAATTGAAAATGAAACTGAACGATTGTACATTGACAAAATAGATTAAATATCATCACATTCACACGGGCAATCATAAACTATATATAAATATTTGTTTTAAGTATTAGATAGAATCATAGAAGTTGTGACCACGTGGGTTGTGAACTTTCAATCACAATATTTCGACAGCTATATTTCTTTATTGATCAGCATCCATATATATTATTTATATGCCCTATATTTAATTCATCGTATGACCCATTTCGGGAAAACCGTGATACACGTGATCTGATTGGTCAATCAGCCTTGTCGGACCACATCATTTCATATTTGAATGGTATATTATTTAGAAATGTCATATTTAATGTAACCGTACCACGAAACTGACACCGTGGAGAAATCGACGACAGAGCAGGGCAAAACCGTCTTTTAGACGAATCGGATCTCCCCGACCTCCCTTACCTCCACAACGTGATGTCCGAGACTTTTCGCTTCCACCCTCCGAGCCCGTTCCTCCTGCCGCACTATTCCTCGGCGGATTGCAAGGTGGGCGGGTACGACATACCACGTGGCACGATCTTATTGGTGAACACATGGACCATCCACCACGACCCGAGTGTGTGGCCCGACCCGGAGTCGTTCAGGCCTGAGAGGTTCGACGTGGGAGAGAAGGAAGGGGACGCGTACAGGCTCATACCGTTCGGGCTGGGACGCAGGGCGTGTCCAGGAGCCACGATGGGGATGAGGACCGTCGCTCTCACCATAGGGACACTGGTCCAGTGCTTCGAGTGGGAGAAGATAGGGGACGGGCCCGTGGATTTGAAGGAAGGGACGGGACCCATTATGCATAAAGTGGAGCCACTCGTGGCGATCTGCAGGGCCAGGGCTTTAGCCACCAGGACCATGGACGAAGCATATTAGCCAATGAGCGTTGGCCAAGAACAAGATAATGTTATATAATAACAAAGAGGATGGCTAGAATAAGAAAACGAAGAATATGGAACGCTTGTTTTTTCAGTATTTTCCACTTTCCAGTGTGATGGTGAATAAAGAAGACTCGGTGTGACGTTTCTGGAATGGTTATGTCCTAATCATTTGAGCAATAAATGTTTGGTTCATTAAAGTTTTTTTTCTACCAAAGGATCGATTGTTAATCCGAATTCTTCCGTTTGTTACAGGGAAAATAGCATTTAAATATTTAAACTTTTATAACAGTTCTAAATAAGATATTAAAATTTTACAAAAATCCCAAATAAACAAGTTTTGAATTTATTTGAAATTTTTTTCAAAAATCCAGATATTTATATATATTTTTTTAAAAATTAGATATTTATATTGAAATTTCATAGTGTTCAAATATTTTACATAGACATTTTTTGTTGTCAATAGTACAATTTTTTTAACACTGTTTGAGATATCCAAATATCTCTCATATTTTATCTTATTGTATAAATATATTTCTATTATTTAATTTTTTAATGGGATCAGGTTTGCCCTATGTTACCAACCGAATCACAGTTCTCTAGTCAAAACAATCGGCCTTTTTTTAGGCATAATCGCATAAAAATAACCGAACTTTTACAAAAATTTTAAATAAATATCCGAACTATAAAATTATCATATAAATACCTGAACTTTTCAAAACTCTCACATAAATACCCAAACTTTTAAATTTTTTCCAAATCAAACAAATACAACTGCTGACTCAGCAAAAAACTGCTGACTCAGCCAAAAAAACTGTTGACTCAGCAAAAAACTGATGACTCAGCATTCAAAAATATTATTAAATATCCAAATATTCATCTACATGTATTTAAATTAATATATACATATAAATTCACGTATATATACAAATATATATATATATATATATATATTAAAAATAAAATTATTTATAATTAATAAAACATATATACACATAAATACAACATATATATATCATTACTAATACATATATATGTATTACGACGAGGACGGTGTGCATTATTATTATTTTAAAATACTAATATATTTACATAATATATATATTTAATTATAATTATTTTTATGTATTATTATTATTTTTAATAATAAATTTAATTATAATTATTTTTATTGTAATATATATGTATTAGTAATGATATATATATACGTTGTAGTTATGTATATATGTGTTTTATTAATTATAAATAATTTTATTTTTAATATATATATATATATATATTTGTATATATGTGTGAATTTCTATATATATATTAATTTAAATACATGTAGATGAATATTTGAATATTTAATAATATTTTTGAATGATGAGTCAGCAGTTTTTTTGCTGAGTCAGCAGTTTTTTGGTGAATCACCAGTTGCGTTTGTTTGATTTGGAAAAAATTCAAAAATTTAGGTATTTATGTGAGAGTTTTGACAAATTCAGGTATTTACATGATAATTTTATAGTTCGGTTATTTATTTAAAATTTTTATAAAAGTTCGGATATTTTTATGTGATTCTTTTTTTTTTATGATATCTTTTAGAATTCATATGAATTGATCGCTTATGGGTGCTTGAATTAAGTTTTTTATTTAAAAATAAGATTATGAAATTAAATTATAAAGGAAAGGAGTAAGGAGAGAGAGAGTGTTTCGAATTTTTCAGAATTTAATAATCCCCCAATTATTACTTTAAAGCAACTATGGGTCTTCTCATTCTACTTCTTCTCTCAGCAGCATCAAGCTTTCTTCAAAAATGGCAATGGCGGAGAAAAGCAAGATCCTGGTGATAGGAGCAACAGGTTACATGGGCAAATCCATAGTTGAAGAGAGCGTTAGAACAGAGCATCCAACGTTTGCTCTGGTCCGAGAGATCTCTCTCTCCGATCCAACCAAGAACAAACTCATCACCCACTTCAAAGCTCTTGGTGTCAACATTCTACTCGTAAACGACTCTCTCTCTCTCTCTCTCTCTCCAATTGGGTTCTCTTGAATGGTCGGATTCGAGATTTCTGAATTGATTTGGGGTTCCATAGTTAGGGTTTGCATGTGAGAGATATATGGGTTTGATTGATTGATCTTGTTCTTACGTTTTCTGGAGAAAGTTGTAAACTTTGGATTTCAGACAAGACTGTTGCATCGGAATTTGCCTGATTGGATTTGGTGGATTTCCACAGGGACAGCTTCATTTATCTGAAAGAAATCTGGAAAAATATGCATTCTTTCTAACTCATTCTCCATCATCAAATTCGCGGAAAGTTTTGAGATGGATCGAGTTGGGTCATTGCAGGGAGATCTGAACGATCACATAAGTCTTGTAGGAGCCATCAAACAGGTCGATGTGGTCATCTGCCTTATAAGTAGCTCGCAAGTATCAGACCAGACCAAGATCATCGCCGCCATCAAAGAAGCCGGTAATATTAAGGTTGGTAATATTCATAACCTCTGATCATATGATATCAATCATTCATAACAGTAGAAACTTGTTGGCATATATTCAGTGAAAATGCCCTGGTTTGATCATATCTATCATGATTTCGGGTGGTAGAGGTTCTTCCCATCAGAGTTTGGGAGCGACGTCGACCGAACGAAAGCAGTCGGGCTAGCCAAGTCGGCGTTTTCGCTGAAAGCTCAAATCCGACGCGCCATAGAAGCAGACGGGATTCCTTACACATATATTGTGAGCAATTGCTTCTCCGGGTTTTTCCTGCCGTCCCTGGGGCAGTTTCAGCAGGGCATCCTCTCTTCCCCTCCCAGAGACAAAGTCCTCATCTATGGAGACGGCAATGTCAAAGGTAATACCAGAGTATCTCACATTTTATTCAGACCAAGTTTCGATATATGGTCCGTCGGTAATCGGTATCATGAAATTCGTTGGAGAATTCAATTGAAATTTTGTTTCCGCGCCAATTCTTTCTCAGGTATTATCAATGCGGAAGAAGATATCGCCGCCTACACCATCCGAGCTGTTGATGACTCAAGAACTCTGAACAAAGTCCTATACATCAATTGTCCCGAAAACATTGTCTCGATGAATGATTTGGTTACTCTATGGGAGAAAAAGATCGGGAAAACCCTCGAGAAGACTTATGTTTCAGAGGAACAACTCCTGAAGAACATTGAAGGTGAGTTCACTTCCCGAATTACCAAAAATATCTTTTCTTGTGTGTGTTTTTTTTCTCATACAGTAACAAGTAGAGGTTTCATCATACAATTTGTATATGCAGATTCTCCGGCACCCATCAACATGTACCTGTCCCTAACCCATTCAGTCTTTGTGAAGGGTGATCAAACCTCATTCACTCTAAACCCGGCGTATGAAGTGGAGGTTTCCGAGCTTTATCCCGACGTCAAGTACACCAGCGTTGAAGAGTATCTCGATAAGTTTGTTTGAGAAAATCGCGCATCTTCTTCACCGAAACCCCGGTCTTGTTATGAACAATGTTTTATATGGCTTTTGTAACGCAACACTGCAATCCGAGTTTGTCTCAATTGGACAAAAGGTTTTCCTGAACAAAAGTGGTTTGATCTGCTTGAAGTGAGGTGTAAACTGTGAATCTATGTGTTCGAATCTCGTCGCAGATGTGGAATGAGGAGGCGAACGCTTCAAACTTAGAATTGTTGATTTGATAGCATGGAGATGGAGGCGGAGTTTCACTTTTCGAAACGTTGGGGTCAAAGTGAAAAGCTTTGAAAGTCAAGGGGCTTTCCTGAAAATCTCACAAGATCTCCTGGCGTGGTAGGCAGAATCTCCTCGTGCAACACGTGCCGATCCTACCCGAAAATTACCCGACGACTGAATATCTAACTAAATATGAATCGGATTCGAATAATATACACGATACTCGGATATAAATTTTTTGTTTTGAGTAAAAATATTTGATACCGAAATACATAATAAAATGACAAATAGTATAGAAGAAATTTTTTAAGTAAAATAAACCGAAGGTTTGAATGGGTGGTTAACCGAATTGAACCATAATTCGACCGGTTCTTTAAATTCTTAAAGAAAACCGAGTTTTATAACCGACTTTAATAGAACCGGATTCTGTTCTCAAGGTCAAGGGTACACAACGCCTGCCCTATTTTTTTGTCGTCAAAATTTTTAAAACCAAACCGAAACTATTTTTTCCTTTTTTCCACATGTTTTTGGTGTTTCCTTTTTTCAGGTTTCCAGAGTCGGTGTCTTTTATATACATATGTGTGTATATATATCCGACGCTTACCGTTGTATTTTAAACGCAGCGTTTTAGAGAGACCGGCCTTCCTTTTTTTTCCTCTTCCGAATCTCTCTGGTAAAAATCATCCTAAAGCCATAGAAAATTGTCCGAGAACTCAAGCGCGATTCAAAAACCCTAATTTTCGGATTCAAGACGATTCTTCAGTTCCTGGGTTTCTCTTAATCGATTCGAGTCCATGGACAAGGAAGAATTGAAGAAACTGAATCATTTGTCCCTCGTCTCCAATGTCTGCAACGAATTGGAGACCCATCTAGGTTTCGGGGACAAGGTTTTGGCCGAGTTCATCATCGAGCTCGGGCGGAGCAGCGAGACGGTCGATGAATTCGACTCGAAGCTGAAGGAGAATGGCGCAGAGATGCCGGATTACTTTGTCCGATCCCTGTTGACGATAATCCACGGGATTTACGCGCCGACGCCAAAATCGGAGAAAGATTCGAAGAGGAAAGGGGAAGATGGAGGTGGGGAGAAGGAGAAATTCAAGGCTTTGGCAATCAAGGACAGTAGAGACAGAGTGAAGGAGCTGGAGAAGGAACTCGAGATAGAAGCTCGGGAGAGACAGAGAGAAGGTAGAGAAGATGAATATCGTAGGAGAGATAGAGATAGAGATAGGGAACGAGACCGAGGCACAGATAGAGATAGAGAACGTGATAGGTATGATAGAAGGGATCGGCATGGAGGAAGGAATCATGGGGGTGATGGTGATTATAATCATGAAGATAGAAGAAGGGATAGGAACAGAGACAGCCGTAGGGGAGGAGATGATTGTATCGAGGACGGTAGAGACACTAGGGAGAATGAGGGGTATCGAGAGAGTAATGGGCGGCATCGTAGGAGCAATGAGCCTGAATTGTATCAGATTTACAAAGGTAGAGTGACCAGGGTGATGGAGTCGGGTTGTTTCGTTCAGTTGGATGAGTTTCGGGGGAAAGAAGGATTAGTCCATGTTTCTCAGATAGCGACGAGGAAGGTTAGCAAGGCAAAAGATGTGGTGAAAAGGGATCAGGAAGTTTTTGTTAAAGTAATATCAGTTTCCGGTCAGAAGTTGAGTCTTTCTATGAGGGATGTTGATCAGAATACTGGCAGAGATTTGATTCCTTTGAAGAGGAATTCGGATGATAATACATTGAGGAGTAATCCGTCTGGGACAAGGGATGGACCTACGACAAAGACTGGTATTTCAGGAATTCGGATTGTGGAAGAGGAGGATGTCGCTCCATCACGCAGGCCGTTGAAGAGAATGAGCTCGCCCGAGAGATGGGAAGCACAACAGTTGATTGCCTCTGGTGTATTAAGAGTTGAAGATTTTCCAATGTATGATGAAGAAGGAGATGGGATGCTTTATCAAGAGGAGGGTGCTGAAGAGGAGCTTGAGATTGAAATGAATGATGATGAACCTGCATTTTTGCAGGGGCAAACCAGGTACTCCGTCGATATGTCTCCGGTTAAGATCTTCAAAAATCCCGAGGGTTCTTTGAGCCGAGCAGCTGCACTTCAGTCTGCTCTCATCAAGGAAAGAAGAGAAATGAGGGAGCAGCAACAAAGAACAATGCTTGACTCGATCCCTAAGGATCTGAATCGTCCGTGGGAAGATCCTATGCCCGAGACAGGTGAAAGGCATCTTGCCCAGGAGCTTAGGGGTGTCGGGTTATCAGCTTATGACATGCCTGAGTGGAAGAAGGATGCTTACGGGAAAACAGTGACTTTTGGGCAGAGATCGAAGCTTTCTATCCAGGACCAAAGGGAAAGCTTGCCGATATATAAGCTGAAAAAGGAACTGATACAAGCTGTTCATGATAATCAAGTTTTGGTGGTCATTGGTGAGACTGGGTCTGGTAAGACAACACAGGTGACTCAGTATCTGGCGGAAGCGGGCTACACTACAAAGGGAAAAATCGGTTGTACTCAACCTCGTCGGGTTGCTGCCATGTCTGTTGCCAAGAGAGTTGCTGAGGAGTTTGGTTGTCGTTTGGGTGAGGAGGTCGGGTATGCGATTAGGTTTGAGGATTGTACTGGACCGGACACTGTGATCAAGTACATGACTGATGGTATGCTTCTTAGGGAGATTCTTATAGATGAGAATCTCTCTCAGTACTCGGTTGTTATGCTTGACGAAGCTCACGAGAGGACAATCCACACCGATGTCCTTTTCGGTCTTCTGAAGAAACTGGTGAAACGTAGGCCTGATCTTCGTCTCATCGTCACATCTGCCACATTGGATGCAGAGAAGTTCTCTGGGTATTTCTTCAACTGTAATATTTTTACAATTCCGGGAAGAACGTTCCCTGTAGAGATACTGTATACCAAACAGCCAGAAACAGATTATCTGGATGCTGCCCTGATCACGGTCCTACAGATACACTTAACTGAACCCGAGGGTGATGTTCTCCTCTTTTTGACCGGTCAGGAAGAGATTGATTTCGCGTGCCAGTCTCTTTACGAGAGGATGAAAGGCCTAGGCAAAAATGTTCCTGAACTCATCATTTTACCGGTGTATAGTGCGCTCCCTAGTGAAATGCAATCTAGAATTTTTGACCCTGCTCCTCCCGGTAAGCGGAAAGTGGTTGTGGCTACGAATATAGCGGAAGCTTCTTTGACAATAGACGGAATATACTATGTCGTGGATCCTGGTTTCGCCAAGCAGAATGTGTATAATCCGAAGCAAGGGTTGGATTCTCTTGTCATAACTCCGATTTCTCAAGCATCAGCCAAGCAAAGGGCTGGACGTGCTGGTCGTACTGGGCCTGGAAAATGTTACCGTCTCTACACCGAGAGTGCATATCGGAACGAGATGCCTCCTACAACGATTCCTGAGATTCAAAGGATCAATCTCGGGATGACAACTCTGACCATGAAGGCGATGGGCATCAATGATTTGTTATCATTCGACTTCATGGATCCTCCTCAACCCCAAGCCTTGATTTCTGCAATGGAACAGCTGTACAGTCTTGGAGCCTTAGACGAGGAAGGTCTTTTGACAAAACTCGGTAGAAAGATGGCAGAATTTCCTCTGGAACCACCTTTGTCTAAGATGTTACTCGCCAGTGTGGATCTCGGGTGTAGTGACGAGATTTTGACGATAATTGCCATGATCCAGACGGGCAACATATTCTATCGACCCAGAGAGAAACAAGCTCAGGCTGATCAAAAGAAGGCCAAGTTTTTTCAGCCTGAGGGCGATCATTTGACTCTTCTTGCTGTATATGAAGCCTGGAAGGCCAAAAACTTCTCCGGACCTTGGTGTTTCGAGAATTTCATTCAGGCTCGGTCTCTACGTCGTGCTCAGGACGTAAGGAAACAACTTCTCAGCATCATGGACAAGTAAGCATTCGCCTTCTTAACTCCCTCCTCGAACTTTCCTTACATATTTGCACCTACGAATCTGAATCTGTTCCCTAGCATAGGATTGCCTGATCTCTATAAGTTTCTATTCTTCAAATTTAATGTTCCTTCGTTATCGTTTGATATGAGAGCATCATCGAAAGGCAGACTGAGCAGCTAGTTCTTTTAAAGTTCACCGGTTTTGTCTGAATCGTGAACCATGTTCTGATAGAACCCCGAAGGGAATTCTATTGGAAAACGTGCCGCCGCTGGTTTATAGAAGACTGGCATATCTTAGACGTTTTAAGGGAACGTCGACCTCAAGAGTTCTTTTGATCAAGAAACTTTTCTAATGTCTTATTATTGAATAGAAACCCTCTATTTACAAACAAATCTTAAAGAATCTAAAAATTATGAAAAACCCTAAAACTACGGAAAGGAAATTAAGTAGAATTCAAACTCTAATTTTTTAACCTAAGTCAAAACCCAGCTCTCAATTAAGACCCAAATGCTAACTTGAACCCGTTGGTCATCCCGCCTCCCATGGTCGTCTGACGTCCGGAAGTGGCCATCCACCTTCCCGGACTGGGTTCCATTACGTTCCCTGTCTGAAAAGCTTTATTTCCTAACATCACCCGAGATGCGAATCTGCGCTTCTAAACCCCATTTTTCTATGTCTATTCAGGTATAAACTCGACGTGGTGAGTGCGGGCAAGAATTTCATGAAGATAAGGAAAGCGATCACTGCAGGGTTCTTCTTCCACGCATCGAGAAAAGACCCGCAGGAAGGGTACAGAACCCTGGTGGAGAATCAAGCGGTGTATATCCATCCGAGCAGCGCGCTGTTCCAGAGGCAACCCGATTGGGTGATATACCACGAGCTCGTGATGACGACGAAGGAGTACATGAGGGAAGTGACGGTGATCGACCCGAAATGGCTCGTGGAATTGGCACCGAGGTTCTTCAAGGTGTCTGACCCTACAAAGCTGAGCAAGCGTAAGCGCCAAGAACGGATCGAGCCGTTGTATGATAGATACCACGAGCCGAACTCCTGGCGTCTCAGCAAACGGCGTGCCTGAAATCATCACCCGTCTTCGAACGAAGGATTCTGTTACGTCTCTATTGCTTTTGTATATATGTTTCGTTTGTGTTCCGGTCATAACTCAAAGGGCTTACTCTACTTGTGTGTTGTTCAACGTTTGTTGTCGGATGTTTTCCGTGGAGGCCGAAACGACGTCGCGTACCTTTCTGTCTTGTTTTGAACTATCAAAATATGTGCTTTTGACCAACCATTTTTTTACCATTCCTATAATATTGGGTTTGCGTTTTTTATATACTTGGATTTATCTGTCTATTTGGTGGCTGATATTAAAGTTCATTTATATTTGGACGATTTATGTAATCTATACAATTTTATCTATTCATATATGGCGTTTGTTTTTAAATTTTTATAAAGTTTAGAGCGTAAAAAAAATAAAATAACTTTAAAGTGTAAGTAAATTGGCATTTTAATCGTTTGGTCCAATCTTGGTTCTATTTTTTTATTTTATTTTTCCGAAGTATTTTGAATTCCGGTTAGGGTATTTTGTTCCTCTCTGGAGCGGGTAAATCCGGTTCGAGAAAATTATTCCGAAGAAAATCTTAAAAAGGTAAGCTAAATACATTTCGGTTTAATTCGGTTCCGTTTTTGTTTTCGCAAAGCAACAATTCTCTATTCCTTGCAACGCTTCGTTCAGGCTCTCTCTCAGAATTCACAAGCCCCTCTCTCGAGAAAGTTCGCGGCGGCGATGGCGGCGGCGCTTCCGCAACCTCACGGCTATCACCACCCGCAGACGCTTGAAGAAGTTCGGACACTTTGGATAGGTGATTTGCAGTACTGGGTCGAGGATAATTACCTCACTTCCTGCTTCTCCCACACCGGCGAGGTACAATTCCTCTCTGATCCTTTGCTTCCTTTGTCTTCGATCTTTTCAGCTCTCGTATGATTCTCATTCTGGGTTTTCCTGCGTTCGTCTCAATTTGGCAGCTTGAGTTTTATTTTTTTAGGGTTTTGTGAGAGACTGGGATTTCGATTTCTTCTCATGTCCTTGGGGGTTGCTAATGCTTTGATTCGCTGGTCGATGTTGTTTGAAAATAAAAAAGACTGTGAATTTGCTATGTTCTTTTGCCAGTGGAAGGGAGTTTACATTGTATGTTTCAGAGATTTGAGTTCCCATTTGAAACTTATGATTTTTTAATATGAATGGTTGGAATTCTTCGTTTACGGAATCGGGTTTCATCAGGCAGTAGATGAGTGCAGTTGTTTCTATAGCCTCACGTGATCTTTCATATGTTGTAAGTTGGCATGTTTTTATCAAAATACCCATAATCTGGGGCTGATGTTTTTGCTTGGTGGGAAATTTTGATTGCTTAAACAATCTATAGAACTTGAAGGATAGATTATTGTTGGTTAGAAGGAATTGTAGACTTTTCTTGACAGCCTTAAACACTGTTATTTTTCTTTTCGGGTAGTATATGCTTTCATATAAGCTAAGCTACAATGGCTTCTGGTTTTAGTTTCTTGTCTATGGACTTTTGTTGGATGACAAGATGCGAAAGATCCTTTAAGATTTTTAGTATTCTGTGGTTAGTTTAGTTATATATATACTCTTTTGCCTTTGACGTCGGATTTACAAAATATCCCTATATGTAAAGTTGGTGATGATACTGGAATAAACTTGCTAATGTGAATTTTCGGTTTCTTTATTTACATAGCTGGTTTCCGTAAAGATAATACGTAACAAGATCACGGGCCAACCAGAAGGGTACGGTTTCATAGAATTTGTATCTCATGCGGCAGCGGAAAGAATTCTCCAGATGTACAACGGGACACAGATGCCTGGAACAGATCAAACTTTCAGGCTGAACTGGGCATCTTTTGGTTCCGGCCAGAAAGTTGACACAGGTCCTGACCATTCCATCTTTGTCGGGGATTTAGCTCCAGATGTTACGGATTATCTCCTTCAAGAGACTTTTCGTGTGCTTTATCCTTCTGTCCGAGGTGCCAAGGTTGTCACGGATCCAAGCACCGGACGGTCAAAAGGTTACGGCTTTGTGAAATTTGCTGATGAAAGTGAAAGGAACCGAGCCATGAGCGAAATGAACGGTGTTTACTGTTCCACAAGGCCAATGCGTATTAGTGCAGCAACACCGAAGAAAAACATAGGCTTGCAGCAGCAATATGCTCCCAAAGGTATGAGAAAGAAAAAAAATAAAAGGGCATATGATTATCGAATTAGGTTTTTTGTAGTTCAGAAGATTAAGTTTATATAATAAAAACCCAAAAAAAAATGGAAAAGATCTTTGGTATTAGCTTTTGTCCTACCGGATCGTTTTGTCTTCCTGATTGGTTTTTCATTTTCCAGCAGTCTATCCTGTTCCGGTGCCTGTTCCAGCTCCGGTCCCAGCTTATGCTACTCCACCAGCGCAGGTGCTTCCACCTGAGAATGATGTCAACTGTACCACTGTAAGTTCCATCAGAAATGGCCGTGCCTATTTTTCGGGGTGTTTTTTTGCGTTTATTCTCATGTATTGGTTTTACGATTTCAGATATCGATCGCCAACTTGGACGCAAATGTCGGGGAGGAGGATTTGAAGAAAGCATTTGCATCGTTCGGGGAAATTATTTACGTCAAAATACCCGCAACCAAAGGATATGGATATGTTCAATTCAAAACCAGGTACAGTACTTCAAGAAACTCATGCATCACCATGTAAATTTTACCACCGAATCTTGACCCGCACTGCTGTTTGATGTCAGGCCTTCTGCTGAAGAAGCCATTCAAAAGATGCAGGGACAGATGATCGGTCAACAAGCGGTTCGCATTTCTTGGAGTAAAAATCCAGGACAGGTTTAAGCTAAATTCATTACATCAAATGAACTTTTTAGCAACACTTTCAAGTTTCAATTTCTCTCGAGTTACGATCCTGATATTCGGTATTTAATCACAGGACGGCTGGGGTGTGCAAGCCGATCCGAGTCAGTGGAATGCCTATTACAGTTACGGACAAGGCTATGATGCGTATGCTTACGGAGCGACTCAAGACCCGTCCTTGTACTCGTATGGCGCATATGCCGGTTATCCTCAGTATCAGCAACAGGCAAGAAAACTCCTATCTTTTTCACAATGTGCATTACTTCTTTTCGATGTCTCTGTACTCTACTAGTCTTGCTACTTGTAATAATGTTTCCTTTTTCATCGGATTCACTCAAGATGAAAGATGAAACTTAGATAGGATCAGAATTCGATACTTGGGTCCGTATAGGTTTCTGATTTTTCTTGGTACGATCGAACATTTTAAACATAAACCCTGATATCTTTTTGGGCCGAGTATTTCAGGGGGACGGTACTCAAGATATGACAAGTGTCTCGGCTGGGGGTCCCGGGGCAGAGCAAGAGATATATGATCCTCTAGCCACACCCGACGTCGACAAGTAAACTCTCTCTACGCACATATAATAAGTTCATACCGTCTCTTGCTCCTCTTCGGGCAAATCAAATATCGATCTTTTCATCGTTATCGCACTTGCAGGTTGAACGGCGCTTACCTTTCTGTTCACGCGAGTGCGATATTAGGACGGCCGTTATGGCAGCGTACTTCATCGGTCACGCCTCAAACTCAAGCACCGGTTTCTTATCCGAGTTAGATTTCCGATTACATCTTCTGCTCTTTTCAGACAATCAATCTCAGAGAACAGCAAAGCTTTGGGTACAGGGGAGAATCAAGAACTTGGTGAAGCTTTTTTGTATGTTGCATGCATTTAGCAAACTGTTTTGTTCTTGCAAGGGTTTAGGGTTCATATCAATGTCATATGATAATTGACATTATAAATTCTGCTGTTTTCCTTTATTGGATTTTTCATCATTTTTTTTTCCGGTTCATATCAAATTGCTATCTTTATTTTAATAGGAAAATTAAATATATTAGACAGCATCACGCATAAACATACTTTTTCATAAAATATACATCACATATTAAATATACAAACTCCACACAGGCTTAAAAAAAAACATTATTTTTACAATAATAACAACAAACAGGCATATTATTTCATAAATCATATGCGGAACGTAACTTAAGGAAGCTTCATTGGAGGTGTGTTTTGGTGGACCGTTTGAGTCCAAGGATCACAAGAAGCATGCCGACATAGTCGTAGTTATAAGCTGTCCGAAAGAGCTCGAGCTTGTTGTCGTTCCATGGCGGAAATCTGAACCAGAAATCCGTCAAGAAGCTTCTATATGCGACGGCCTTATAGTGGCTGAACGCCTCGAACGAGTATTTCCCGTGGTACTTTCCTATCCCGCTCTCCCCGACCCCCCCGAATGGGAGCGTATCCGCTGCGTACTGATTAGCGACCAATTTGGTTATTAACCGAATAACTTAACTGATTCGAATTGAATAACACATGGCAGTAACCGAAACGAATCCGATATAAGATGTGAAGCTTATAGGATCTCTAAAACCGAAAAACCGAATCTGAACTGAATAAATGTAATGTACTTGAATAATGGCGTCGTTGAAGATTAAGCTTCCTGAAGATGTCTCTGAGAGTAATCGTTTCTTGAACTTCTCGTCATTCGTGAATGCGTATATCGCAAGGGGTTTGGACCTCGAGCTTATGAACTCGATACTGTCTTCGATCTTCTTCAGCTAAAATGTTAAAAAAGCAATCTATCAATACATAAAAACCGGAACCGAAATCCAAACGAAATGGTTTATATTTCCAATTACACTTACAGTGATTATCGGAAGCACCGGACCGAAAATTTCTTCTGTCATGACCTTCGAATCGAGTGGTGGATCAAGCAAGATCGTCGGCTCGATGAACCTGCAAACGAGAAATGCGAATCTAAATCGTGTAAAATCAGGTTTTGTGATGTTTTGAGAACGTCTTTTTTGGAGTTTTCTCCATTTTCTTACATATTCTCCGCGTCGACCGAACCTCCATGAACGATACATTCCTTGATTCTTTCGTCTTCAAGTAGACTCTTCAACCTCAAGAAGTTGTTCATATGACCTATTCTCCCGATGCTATTCGACTTTCTCGGGTTTTCTCCGAACATTTTCTCGACTCCCCTCTTCATCAATTCGATCTAAAGAAAAAAGAAAACGGAAACACGACGAAAAAGTATATCATCCGTCTGAGTCTTCCGCTTTAACCGGTTCTAGAGCAGTAGATCTTACCAATGTTGGAGCGTACGCCTTCTCGACGAGCGCATAATCAACGGCTATACACGCTTGACCCGCACACGATCCAAATTTCGCCCCGATCATGCGGTTTGCAGCCACCTTTTCGGTATAATAACTGACGTCAGATAACATTTTCAAACTTAAAGAACCGAGAATCGTTGGAGAAAATACGATTTCGGTTACGTCCATACATATATATATATACACACACACATACCTGTTGATCCCACGACCGAGTTAGAGAATCGATGATTGCAGGGCATTTTCCGCCGAGCTCGAGAGTCACCGGAGTAAGATGCTCAGCTGCAGCCGACAAGACAATCCGTCCGACCCTCGCGCTTCCTACATTAACCGAGTTTCAACACAAGATTCAGACAATCTACATAAGAGCAATCACGTTTTCTTGTTCTGTAATGAATCTAACCCGTGAAGAAAATCTTGTCCCATTTCCGTTGCAGGAGACGTTCTCCGACATCGGGACCTCCTTCGACAACCTTAACCGCTTTTCCATCGAGATACTTGGGTATCGTCTTAGCGAGAAGGGAAGAACAAGACGGCGACAGCTCCGACGGTTTTAGGACCACCGCGTTTCCGGCGGCTAACGCTCCGATCAGCGGCTCTAAGCAAAGTCCTGGGAGATGAAAGAAACCCTAATCGTGAAGCAAACCCTAATTTACGTATGAAGAAGGAACTGCTCTTGTTTCAGAAATTACAAACCTATAGGAATGTTCCAAGAGGACATGACAAGAACAAGTCCAAGAGGCTCAGGAGATACTTCCGCCGACGAGAGAAGCGCTATGATCGGCAATTCCGCCTTTCAAAGATCGAAACACGACTCATTATCACGAGACAAATTAAGATATGGTTATGTTTCTTGCTTAAATCAAGAACCAAACACACACACACACATATACATATACATATATATATATATTCGGAAAAGGGCAGTGGTACAACATATGGTCTGGTTAGAATGATTGAATCATGAGACAAAAAGGGATGGATATATATATATATATTTGTTCAAGAATATGATGAAAAGAAACAGAGGAAGAGAGAGAATTGTTGCCTTTTTGTTTGACATCCAATGTTTGAGATTTGCCAAAGCATAATTAGCAGACTTCATTGTGGTTCCGATCTGCATAAACAGCAATTAAAAAAAACACATAACTTCAAATCTTTGCTAAAATCAATGCAAATTATTCATGACAATGAATTCAAAGACCGAGCTCGATCGAACCAGAGACATTTTCCAGGAAAAAACAAAAGTTCATAGCAGAAACTTCAACATGAACATCAATGATTCCGTCTATTAATATGATTTTCATGGATTTTGAATCTTTTTATCAGCATTACAAAAAGACCCTTTTCTTTAAAACATCAACTAATCGGCGGGAACTCGAAAAAAAGAAACCTTGAAAAAAGGCTGACAAGAGCAAGGAGATCGTATGTACGTATGTATGTATGTATATATGTATGTATACCTCATCTCTGAAGGCTTCGACATGGTGTTTCCCCAAATCTTGTCTGAGAGCCTCGAAAAACTCGGATTCTTGATCTCTGAGAAGATTCTGAATCCCTTTGAGCTGTGTCTTTCTCCACGAAAAATCTCTTGTTTTTCCCGTCTTGTAGTATTCCTTTGCCTCCTCCACTTCCGTCTCCAAGTTTCCCATACTTTCCATTTTCCCAGGTTCCAAACTGATTTTCTTCTCTTCAACTTTCACCTACGGTTATGAACATTAATTAGTAAGCATCATCACACACACATATATATACACACATACACATACGTACATGTGTATGTCTGCGTCTGTACATACACACTTATACGTATGCGCATTGTCGGTACGTACGTACAAACCACATGAATTATGCTTAGAACCATCAAAATTAAATCACAGATTGTAATAATGATCGAAAATTAAAATAAAGCGATGATAATACATATAATAATAGAAATAATAAAAAAAAACTTAAAAAGGTTTAGTTCACAATTTCACCGGGAAATACGATTAATCTAACGGTGCCGTGTATACATAGAGAAAAACAAGAGGTATTCGAACTATCTGCAACGGTCCAGAAGTTGAAATTAATTTCACACGTCATGTTTTCCACTTTTGTATAAAAGCCACGTCATATATTGCCCACGTGTTAAAATGGGCTAAAATCCTGGATCAACTAATCTGATATTTTTGTATTCATATATTAAATGCCCAGAAAAAAAAATAATGCAGTCGGTGGATAAACACAACTTTTATTGGAGTGAAAGTAATGTGTGACATTTTCATTTCAATATGTAGGCATATATACGTGCATGGATGTGTGTATACATATCTAGACATGTATATATATATATGCAGTTGTGTATGTATATGTTGATTAAACCCCAACTTGACAAAGGTCTTGGGAACCACCACTTCTCTTAGAAGTAATAATAGCTTTGGCTTGGTTATGGTTTTTTAAGTGGTAGTTTTTATTTTGAGTTTTTAACTTTTACCTTTTGTAATAATTGTAATTTTTAGTTTTATTTTTTTACTAAAATATTTTTTTTGGATTTTTAGAAAAACCAAATTTATAAAAACTTGATTGGTTATTTTTTTTCGTTTTTAGATTATAAAAACTCTAAAAACCTCTTCTATTCATAGCCTTAGACAATTTTTAGAAAAAAATCAGAAAATATATATATATATTTTTATTTAACCACGAATTTAACAGTATATCCCATCTGGTGTCGAGTTCCATTCAACCTTTATATCGAAAGACGTACCATTTTTATTTGTCAATGCAAAACTTTCCTTTCGAATTTATTGCACAGTTTGTACTTCGAGATTATTTTTTTTCTTGGTCTAGGATGTCGACGTTCTTTGATTAGGACCAATTTCCATTATCTATTTTTATAAGATCGAAATTTTATTGTAAAGATTAAAATATTCACATACATGTACATTTTATTCTCACCCAAATTCGATCAATTGTCTTACACCAACAAGACCGACCTTCAAAATTTATCCAAACAATTAATATATCTTTAACCATTCATTTCTATATTTTAATATCTTCACAAATAAATAGTAGTTGTAGAACATGTTTAATTAATTGGTGTTAAGTGGTTGGTTTTATTTTAAGAATATGTTAAAGTTTGATCAACCATGTAATTTTTTTTTGATAATCTAAAAATTCATCGGGTCTTTGGTCCGATTAAATTTTTTAGAGAATCGAGAAAACTTATTTATTGGAAAGGGATTTTGCTCTCCTTTTTAACGGTTGAACCATCTAATATTAGATAACAACGTAAATTATTATTATTATTATTACGAAGAAAAAACATATAAAAATAAAACGTAAGAATTTTGAACTGAACCGTTTGTCTTATTGGAACGACCATTTATTACTGTATTATCTACCTTCCTGCACTTCTGTTTCCAAATAAAATAAATAAATAAATTCTCTCCCTTTTTCAAAAAAAAAATTGTATCAACCTCTCTTGGTTTTCATACTTCCCAACAAACCGGTCAATATGAATTTAATGTATTAATTACCTTACAGTGTACGATAGTCTCTAGATATTAAATTTTTTTGTACATATAACATAGTGATTGTATTTAAATAATTCGACAGTCTAAATGTAATGTAAATATATAAGTACAAGTTTTCTAATGTGAACAACCTAAGTAGTCTTCTTTACTGTTTGTGGAGACAACATCGAACCAAGCATATATCCATCTTTTAGTGAGTACAAACAGGGTAATAACGTAGATTCTCAAAATTTAAAAAGAATATTTTTTAGATATTATCTTTATCACAAAAATAATTATTGTATTTTTGTTCTAATATGATTATTATTACTACATTGAATAAACTTAATGATTAATTTTTTTGATAAAAATTAATTAGTAAATTGTATGATAATAAAATTTATTGGTTAGAAGTTACAGTAATAATTAAAAAAATAAATTTAAATAACATAATTAGTAAATTTGTCATGAAAATAATGCAATTAAACGGCTGAAAATTTGGACACATTCTCGCAATTACACGTGTCATTCAACGCTCCTATCAAATTTCCCTCATAATCCGCACAGAATACTTACCATTAAAAGTCTTCCGAAAATCAAATCCTAAATTGATTAATTTTATAATTTAATTTAAACTGAACTTTAATTGTGATTCAAGTCCCCAAATATGTGGATATACAAATATATGGTTTGATGGGCGCAAAAAAAATCATATACATTATCTGCTATTGGTCATATGAGAATATTTCAAAATCAAAAGTATTTATTTAAAAAAAAATTGAAGACTAATGGCATTACAAAAATATTTTTTATACATTTGAATATAGATAAAATTTAAGGAAAAAATTATAGGATCACTTATAAACTCTTCAAACTTTTCTAACAATGACATCTATTGGAGTAGATGACTGATTAGGACATTTCAGAAGTCTATTAACAATATGAATTTTCAAGAAAAAAAAAATCATAAAATTGAGAAATAACACAAAAAACAGATATAAATTGAACATGGTTTGTAAGGATGAGACCGTTAGACGTTGAATAAAACATCAATTTGCATTACAATATTTTGGAAAGGAAACATAATTTCGATTCATAATGATTGGTGCGATGTCGACAGATGGCTCCAACTACTAAATTAAAGCAGAATTATATGTCTTCAAGTAAAATCTTATGATGTATATAATACGTTTTTTAATTACATCTAAAATTATAAATTCCGAATATGAGAAATGTTGCAGACAAATTAATATATTATTGCTATTATTTATAATGGAGTAAATTTAAAATACAATGTAATAATATTTAAACTTAAAATCTTGTTAATTTCAATAAAAAAATATTGCAAAAGAATGTCATAAAAGAGCAATCATATACGAATGATTCATATAATGTAATATTTAATCTTTCTTTTTATTAGGAAAGGCAAGAGAGCGTAGTTAATAAATTTGACCGGCTGGTATTATTCAAGTCTAATTGAAATTATATTATTTAAAAGGTGAATAAAAAACTCTAAATTTTAAAAATTTCTGTTAAAAACTTAAAAAAAAAAACAGGGCATGGTGTCTCGTTAAGACTAAAATAATAAATAAAAAATTTCCAATTTTATTTAAAACAAAATATGATATCGTTTGACAGTTCTATAGTGAACTTTGTTGTATATTTTAAATTCTTTTAGTTATTGAGAGTTTTAAATATTGTTTGTATAATTAAGAAAACCATGTCGGATTATTATAAAAATGAGAATACTCGGTGAAATTATCATATTTCCCTCACTCATAAATATAATATGCGTGTGTGTAGCTGTTTTCATGCATTTATGTAATAAAATAAATTCGTTATTCGCATTGAACAAAATTATATGTGAATCTAATAATGAAATTTGCCCACATCATTAAATACAATGAGTTATTGAAAGAACTGTATTTTGAGCCCATAATAATTTTCTACAACCCCAATGAATGCTTCCTTTTTTTTTTTTGTTGATTATAATATTTGTTAGTTTAGGCAGGAAAATTTAAATTTCCGTGGGGTCAGTCTTAAATCATTTTGTTGAATCAACTTGCAATCCTAAAAGGGAATGGTAGTAAAATAACACAAAAATAATAATTCAATATTAGTAAAATAAAATGTTTTTTTTAAATTTTAGCAGATAAATTTTTAAAAAATTTAAATAATCGTTTGCAGCTTGATAAATCTATTTTATCTTTATGTTATATTAAAACATTAATATAAGGTTTAATATTAAAGTTCGATGTTTGTTTCAATTTAATTTTAAAGAATCTGTAAATGAATTTTATATTTTTTTATTACTTTTTTTATTTAACTAATTTGAAATAAATTAACACAACATGGATACCGGTATTGTATAAAAAGATTATTTTTTCCATTATTAAAATTAAATATTTGAAAAAGACAGTGCATCTTGTGTAGATTCATTATCCGCGAATCGATTTTTTTTATAGGAAATTTCCCCAAAATAGGAATAATTAAATCATTTTTCACCTCTTAAACCCCAATCATAAACGTGCCAAAAAGACCCTAATAAATAAAGCATTTAATTGCTGGAAAGATATACAGCAAAAAAAAAAGGACCAATCAATAATTTCTATGTTTAATGAATTGTAGGTTCTACTTTCAAGATACAGTATCACTATTATTTTCAACGAGTCTTTAAATTAAAGGTATCACAATTTTCATAATAAAAACAAAATATATTTAAAACATGTATTTTATGTATTACTTAGTATAGTAATCGATAAATTTGCAGGGGATGTTATGTATCGATTTTTTTTATTAAATGCAGATTCTGTTTAATGTGTAAATACGTTAGGCAAGTTACCAAAGATTAAATCATATATATATTTTAAAAAGTAATTACTCATGTACATATCGTAATTTTCTCATATGAAAGAGATCTGATTAGTGGCGTCAAACACACCGAGACATCCCTAGTTTTATGAAAAATCACAACCCTAATCATTTAATTTTGTGTCGGATTATATATTTCATGTTGCATTATATATCAATTTAATTTAATAATAGCGATATTAACGACTCTAGTTAGTGATATATTAGCCTATTGGACGCTATGTCGAATCATTATTACTCCCTCTGTTTCCTTTTAAATGACGTTTTAGAACAAATTTTTTGTTTTAAAATAAATGACGTTATAATATTTTTTTTCAAATTTACTCTTATTTAATAATACTTAAATATTCTACCAATGATAATTATCTATGTAATAAATAAGGGTATTTTGGATAAAACATTATTTTTCTTAATTTGTGTGTAGAATTCTTAAACGTCATGTAAAAT